GTTTAAGTTCAATTGCCAATTGTACTTGATTGATGAACCTACGAAACTTTGATCTCGTACCATCAAATTTCTCAGGTAAGGCAATTCTTGGTTCTCTAGTGCTTATAGGATGTTGTACAATTGGAGAAGGAACGTGATTTGTTGTAGATGTTGAAGCGGCTCCGATCATCTCTATATCTCCACTTTCTGCTATTCTTGTTCTTTCCTGTGTTGGTGAATTGAGTTGATGCATCGCAAGCATTAACTCCCTCATTTGCTCTTGCATTTGTGCCATTGCACTCTTCATTTCAACAAGCTCTGCCATAATGACAGTAAGAAGAAAAATTTGTTTGATATTGCTCAAGACAAAAGAAAAGAAAGACTTGATAACAAAGAAGATACTAAGAACAATATCAGTTTAGAAGTGGGTAATCCGCAAACTTCTAATACGCTTATGTCTTGTCAAGAGAAAGGGGTAATCCACTCTTACTCAAGAAAAAACAAAGCTCTGATATTGTAAGTGTACTCTTGTCAATCTGTCAAGGATAAAGACTCGATGAGGAAAAATATACACCAAAAGGCTATCTCGATATAATAAGTCAAAATATAAACAAGTAGGTATATTAAAAGGAAACTGGAATGGCTATTGCCACAAGACAAGAAACTAAAGACTCTTGAACCTGGACTAGAAGCAAGAAAGGAGTTGACAAGAGTGAAGAGGGCTTCACTCTTGCCTCTATATATACTATCTAACTAGAAGCCACATGGCGATGTTCTATAAGACCTCCAATATATGTTGACTTTCTAGGCCACATGCCTTTGCTTGCAAGGCAAGTTTTCTATGGATGGACCACGTAGTTAGCTTGTTCTTTAAGCTTCCAACATGTGTGGCACATGGCTAACTTGTTGACTAAGTTTCTAGCCTAAAAGTCAACTATAGACTCTTATAAAGTCAAAGCAGCGTCTATGAAGCTTCTAAGAAGCTTCTCTAGAAGATATTATACAATTAACCTACTTTTATCTACTTTTACATACTTTTATCTATTCATATAGGTAATTATATGTATGTCCGTGACACCTATACCAGAACAACCATGGTCTTCTGTTTCTATGGATTTCATCACAGATCTTCCAAGCTCAAGATCTTATGATTCTATATTTGTGATAGTAGATCGTTTCACTAAGATGGCACATTTTGTGCCATGTACAAAATCTATCATAGGTGAAGAAACAGCTAAGCTTTTCATTGATAATATCTATCGCTATCATGGATTACCTAAAGATATCATATCGGATAGGGGAACTCAATTTGTGTCAAGATTTTGGAGGACCCTTTTCAAGATTTTAAAAGTGGACATAAAGCTATCTTCGGCTTTCCATCCTCAAACTGATAGACAAACAGAGCGCGTAAACCAAGTCTTGGAGCAATATTTAAGGTGTACTATCAACTACCAACAAGATGATTGGACAACTCTTCTGCCATTGGCAGAGTTTGCTTATAATAATACGCAGAAGATATGGCAAATCGGTTGTCAGAGTTACATGCAATAATGAAGACGCAATTGAAGGAAGCTCAAGAACGACAAAAGATAAATGCAGATCTATATCGTAAGGAGCAACCACAACTCAATGTGGGTGATAAGATCAACCCAGTTGCATATCGGTTACATCTAACGGAGTCAATGAAGATCCATCCTGTATTCCACGTGTCTCTTCTTGAACCATATAAGACAGTGGATATACAAGGAAGAAGACAAATGCCACCGCCTCCTATAAAAGTAGATAATAATGAAGAATTTGAGGTGGACGAGATACTAGACTCAAGGCGGCGCCAAAATAAGCTGGAATATCTTGTTCATTGGCGCGGATATGATATTAGTGAACGCACATGGGAGCCATCCAGGAATCTAACAAATGCATCAGCTAAAGTCAAAGTTTTTCATCAACGACATCCATCAAAACCAAGATGAAAATCTCTCTTATAAAAGAGACAAGATTGAGGCAAAATAACATTCAATTTCCTATCCTTGTTTGTAACTTCTTTGCATTTTGTGACGCTAATTAGATGGAGAGCCAACAACCAGCGGATTCAATTCAAGAACCTTCGTTTGCTGACTTGCCGGACGAGATATTACGATTATCACAACCTTCAAGACGACGCACTCGAGATGAAGATCTTCAAGAACGACATGTTCTTCCTCGAATAGATGGTGAGATACAACGCGTTTGGTATCACGATTTGGGAAGGGACTCTCGATGTTTGGTGATTTTGCTAGAGGTAGGAACAACTCCTGATGGTGTTCCAAATATTCTATTCGAAGGAAGTTACGAAGGCCTCAACAATGATCGAATAACTGGGTGGTCTTTCCGCCGTGGTATGGGACACTACCGATGGTTGAGAGGCCCTATCAATCATCTTCGAAGAGAACAGAGATCAGAGTATGTGGCGAATACAATTCGTCGCATCATAGATTTCCTCAACATATGATGACCACTCCTCGTGGAACTCGTCTCTAGAAGGGGGGGTAATGTCATGGCCATAATCATGTAAGCTAATAATTACATATAGAAATAGGTAGAAGTAAGTAAAAGTAGATAAAAGTAAGTTAATTCTATAATATTTAATATAGAAGCTTCTTAGAAACTTCCTAGATGCTGCTTTGACTTCATAGATGTCTTTAATTGACTTTTTGGATTAGAAACATGGTCAACAAGTTGGCCATGTACCACACATGTTGTTAGCTTGAAGATCAAGCTAACTATGTGGCCCACACGTAGAAAAACTTGCCTTGTAAGTCAAGGCATGTGTCTTACAAAGTCAACACATATTGGAGGTCCTATAGAATGTCGCCACGTAGCCCCTAGTTAGATAGTATATATAGAGACAAGAGTGAAGGCTTCTTCACTCTTGTCAACTCCTTTCTTGCTCCTAGTCCAGGTTCAAGAGTCTTTAGTTTCTTGTCTTGTGGCAATAGCCATTCCAGTTTCCTTTTAATATACATACTTGTTTATATTTTGATTTATTATATCGAGATAGCCTTTTTGTGTATATTTTCCCTCATCGAGTCTTTGTCCTTGACACTAGGAGCTACATGGCAATGTTCCATAAGACCTTCTACACGCATCAAATTAATCTTATTACTCTTTATAATAGTGAATTGAAGCAATATATTACAAGCATTGATTTCCTCTTTTGCTCTTATATTTGTGCTATTCCATCATTCATTTTAATAAGTTATATTATAATAATACAATAAAAAAAAAAATTAATATTACTTGGGACAAATTGAAAAGAAGATTCAAAAATAAAGAAATTTTAAAAATAATATTAGTTTAAAAGTAGGTAATCCACAACTTCTAATATGCTTATCTTATCAATAGAAAGGAGTAATCTACTTTGAATAAAAAAATGACAAAGTCCTAACATTATAAATATACTTTTGTCAATTTATTAAGAATAAAAATTTGAATACTATGTTTAAATAGGTGAAATGTGTTTTAAAGGAAGATGACATATAAAGAATGAAAAAGTATATATATTCAAAAAGAAATTAGAATAGTTATTACCAAAAACAAGAAAGCTATAAACTCTTGAAACTAAACTAGACGTTAGAAAGAAATCGACAAAAATCAGAAATACCTCATTCTTGCCTCTATATATATTGTCTAATTAAGAAATTATAAAACAACATTTTATATGTCATCCAACATGTGTTCAACTTCGAAGCCACAAGTCAAACTTACAAAGCAGGTTTTTAACAAGTGCTCTACATTACCAACATGTACAACAAATAGTCAACTTATTAGTCAATTTTTCAACCTATTAATCACATATAAATACTTAAGAAGTCAAATTTGCATCTATGGAGATTTTAAGAAGCTTTTCTACAAGATATTTTTAAATTTATTTACTTTTATTTAATTCTTCTTATCTTAATAAATACTAGTATTAATATATATGTTTGTGACAAAACTTGATCCTTGGTGTAATTTAATAAGATAGATTTTTGTCTAATAAACAGACCAAGAAAATAAGAAGCATGAGAAAGATAAGATATAAAATTAGAAAATAAGACCATTTAGAAGATTAATTAACAAAATAATATTTGAATTTTTACAAAAGTTATATTAGCAAGACTAAGGCATTCTTTTCCTTGGCTTTTGATTGATACTATGGCAACTAGGTCCTATAGAACTTTCTAAGAGACATTCCAAAAACTAAAAAATATACTAAAAGTAGAAAAAAAAAAATTAAAAAAAAAAAAATCTTCTTTTATAACTTCTTAAAAACTAAAGTATGTACTTTATATAAATTGAAGATTCTTTAATATTTCTATACAAGCATAAAAGATTTTATAAGGTTTTAAAGGATTCTATAAATCGTTTTAAATTAAGTTACAAATATTTAAGATTATAAAACATAAAAAATATTCTTTGAGGTCTTTTAATTCAATTTTTTTATAATTATTCATCTAATTAAGTTGTAATTATTGTAATTATAATTGATTTAGTTTTATTGTAATTTTTTTCCATACATAATTAAATATACCATAAATAAATATATATATATATATATATATATAGGAAATTGTTAAAGTGATCCAAGTATTTACTAAATTGATCCACCCATCCTAACCATCATCAAAAAAAATTCCACTACCAAATCCATATTGATCAAAAATCAATTAAAAAATAGTTGGATCCTTAACCGATGATGATGGGTGGGTTGATTTACTTGGGTTCAACAATTCTCTCTCTTATATATATATATATATATTCTTATAAAGATCACAATATCCAAATTCACAGGAATGAGATGCTCCAAAACCAATGCATTTGCCAAATTCATCTATGACAATTCTCATTAATACGCTAACAATACAACAACAACAACAACAAACTTGTATTTGATGAACACACACATATATAAATTCTGAAGGGAGAAGGGGTGTGGCCTTCGCTGCGGCCTCTGTTTTTTTTTTTGAATCCTTGCCCTTTCTTGCTTGCTTGCTGTCTTTCTTCCTTTCTCAGTCTTTCTTTCCCATTCCGGGTTGGCTGTTCCGCGTGGTTGCAACGCCTTCAAGGAATATGGCACACAAGCAGCAGTCGGTCGGCCGTGAGCCAGAAGGAGGAGGAGGAGGAGGAAGAAGAGGGATCCCACTAACCCACCGCCACCACCCCCTCAAGCAAGCAAGACTCAGCAAGAGCAAGCAACAGGAACAATAGCAGCAACACGACGAGGAAGACGAAGTGGGTGAGGGAGAGGTGGGGGGAGGGACGGAGAGAGGAGGAGAGATCAGCTCCGCGTCGTCGACGAAGCACACGCTGCGACTTGCCGGGACTCCGCAAGCAACGCGGCGGGACACCACCATCGTCGCAAGCACTCACGCAGGGAAGGAAGGAAGGAGACGCATGCACGCATGCCCCCACCTCAGCAGCGTGCTTTCGCCTTTGATCACTCTATCTTCCATCACCATTCCCCCACCCTTGGGTTTCGCAATTAGGGCTTTCCCTGCTTTGGAGCACCGATTGCTACTGCGACCCCTCCTCTGCCTGGTCCCCTTGCGTCTCTCGCTCTCTCTCCCTCTCTCTCTCAGGTTGTTTTGGTCTCCTTCCTCTCCTGTTGTTTTTGCAAGCTTTATCTGTGTTTTTGTGAGTGTCCGTGAAGCTTTGTTGCCGATCTCTGCGTCCGGCGGATCCAGCCCCAGCTAAATAATCCGCCTCAGACCGACCGGCTTCAGGTTTGTTGACAATCTCTTGCGTTGTGGGTGGTGGGTTTGGGTTTTCGCTAAGTTGGGTGGAAGTGAGGGTGTTGGGGAGGATCTGGAGATGACCTCACTGAGAGGTAAAGTAGCGGGAATGGCTGATCGTTGTGTTTTACAGAGGTCGAGATTGTGGTTTTCACTTCACATTCTTCGTGAAGTTCCATTTTTTATTACATTGTGGATGCGATGGCCTTTTGTTTTGTTTTGCTTCGTTTTCTTTTTCCTTTTTTTTTTTTTTTTTTTTTTTTTTTTTTGTTTTGTTTTGTTTTGTTTTGCGTTGTGGAATTCTTGGTGTGCAGAGGTGTCGGAGTTGGGGTCTAAGGTCTGGTTACTTTCGTAATGAACGTCAAGAATGTGCTGCCAGTACTTGCTTAACTGCTTTTGGTCTGTCAAGAGTTTCATCTTTAGGATTTGGCTTTTGTATAGCTTTTTTCTTCCCATGTGTTGTGCTGGTTATCATAGTAAGCGTGTTGGTTTGTTGAATTGTCCATCTTTTGAGTGATGCGTGGTTTTGTCCAGTTGCCGTTGTGTTTTTTAGTATCGTGTTTTTTGTTTTGTGATGGCTGTCGAGTGGATGCAGCATTCTTCATAGCGTTGCACATCTTTATCAAGCTGGACAAGTGAGGACAAAAACGCGGTTGTATTTTTATATATGTGATCGTCCAGGAGGACTCTGTCATATGATAGGAGATATGTCGAATCATTTTATTTTCATTACTAATCATGCCCTGTAAAAACGGACGGGCGTGCGTGTTATTACTTGTTCTTGACTGCGTCGTTGACTTGGAGCGTATGCGGCTTTTAATTTTCCTTCCTGTGAATTATTTGTCCCATCGTAGAGCTCCCGAGCAAGATGGTGGGAGTTGTCGAAACTCCAGTTGCCCCTGTGGAGGATGGGGCACAGGCTGCAGTCTTCAAGCCTGTACCTTTGCGTCGGGTGAAGAGGCTAGAAAGGCCGAACAAGGCCGAGTTCGATGAAGCTGTTGGAAAGTTGCAAGCTGAAATGGATGGCCTTCAAAACCGTGTGCGGGAGATCAAGACCATCTTGGACAACAAGCAGCAGAGTAGAGGAATGGTTTCACCGGTAAAAACTCACTATGCTTCTCTTTTGGTTTGTCACTTAAACTTCTGTGGACTCAGCACATGTACTTGAGTGTTGACATTTACGAACGTTTCTTTGCATCATCAGGAGCTTGTAGAAGCGCGCGGACGTCTGACGGAGCTGAGTGTCACATTTCGAAGTGTCTTAGAACAAAAAAATGCTCTTCGCAATGAGCTGAGTGTGCTTGAGAAGGAGCGGGATAGGAAGCGACATGAAGCGAGATCGCTTCGTGAGAATTTGCCTTACTCCAGAGTGGAGCAGATTGACGAGGAGACAAAGAAACTTCAGTATCGGCTTTCCCATACATCTCTCACTCTTCAGGAGGAGAAGAAAGTGCTGCAGCAGATGAAGGACCTTACAAAGTCTCGCGACATTGTCAAGGATTACAACGAGAAACTCGAGAAGACTTCTCAAGATGATGGCACGAGGACATCTTTGCTTGAGAAAATCAAAGAGAAGGATATCTTGCTCAATAGTTTGAAGGCGCAGGAGCAGCAGCAGCGGAAGGTTCTGGGAGACATCAAGGAGAAGGAGGCCGCGCAGGCAATCAACGTCCCTGCGTTGATTGAGGAGAGGAACGTAGCATATGAGAGGATCAAAGTTTTGAGGGATGAGGTGAAGAGTCTACGAACGGAGTTCCGGTCAAAGGAGGACGAGTTCTGGGAACGAGAGAGAGAATGGAGGGAGCAGCAGGCCGTGGAGAGGAAACGTGCTTTTGATAAGAGAGAGGAAGAGAGGAGGGAGAGGGAAGCGTACCGGAAGCAGAAAGAGCTGGAGAATTTCGTTGAGCCTTACACTGATGAGATTATCTTATGTGACCAGCTCTTCCATTACCTCCAGAAATATGCTCCTTCCACGGAAGAAGCAACCACAAACGTCGCCTCCTCGAAAGTAGAAATCCTGGCTCCGAAGGGCGTTGGAAATGTGATCCTGAGCAAAAAGAACAGGAATGACGAAGAACTGGATGGCTGGTTTGCAGGCTCAGGAGGCAAGTCCAAAGGCAAGAAAGTTGGATCTGTAAAGAACAAAGAAAAAGAGAGAATTTCTTTGTCCTTGGACGCCCTCACCTCGTTCGGGAAGATGAAGCTCTCACCACCTACAACAGTCGGTGATGTTGCGAAATGTCTCGAGGAAGTGAAGGCAAAGAAAGAACATTTTGTGCAGCTGCAGATTCAAGATAGAGAAGCCAGAGAAAGCAAAGCGAAAGAACAGTTAGAGACTAAACCAGTAGCACCTGAGGCTGAGGAGGTGGACAAGCCTCCACAACCAGAGGTTGCACAAGCTGATGTTGAACAATCAGAGGTTGTACCACCATCTGAAGCTGTGGATGACTTGACGAATTAGAGTAGGTTAGTCTGAGGAAGTCTTGATCTGGCTTTCTTACTTGGCACCGTTGTACATTCTTTTTTCCAGGTGAAGAAACGGCGTTGCTCAAAGGTCTGAAGTGTCAAATGGTGTTCTTTGTCTTTTTCTTTTTCTTTTTGTTTATTGATCCACCTTCTGAACAGCTCACTACAGAAAAAATTGATGACACTGCGTATTTTGGATTGTGAATGGAGTCTGTATGAATAGATTTAATCAAGTTGGGTTTACAGGTAGATTTCAACTGGATAACCTTCATTTGTGACTTGCATGCTATTATTAAAGGAAAATATTATCTAACCACCTGAAAAACAAATCTGGAGAGTTTCACAATTGTATTAGAAAATTTTAATTTGGAAAGAATGATGGTAAGGAAAGATGTACAAATCATGCTCCAAGTATCAAATTGAATCAAAATTTATATGGCTGAATTTTAATGCCTTAGCAGCTTGAATGAAACTTATCATAGTTTCATACTTTGTTTTTTTTTATGTTAATAAACTAGAAATATATCAATAGGAAGTATTTTCAAGATTCTTATTTATGTTAGAATTTGATAAGGCTTACAAATTGTTACTTTAAAATAAATTATAATTAACTATTTGTGTAGAGGATCTATATTTTCATCTAATGAAGTTGTTGAAAGGTGCCTTAAATTCAAACAATTTTTTAAAAATAAACTAAAAAATGATGCATTAAGTCCAAATAACAATAGATACGTTTTTTATTTAACATTAAAAAAAAGTAACATTTTTTTTATATTTATATCAATAAAAAATCAAAAATATATATAAAAAATTAGAATGTAAAAATAAAAAGTAGATGCACTTTCATGTTGTATTTTTATTTATTTTCAAAGTATATGTATGTATTTATATTTCTAGGATACATATATATATATATATATATATTCTAAAAAGATAAATTCATTTAGACTTGCCAAAAGATAACATATTTTTATACAATTAAGAAAAATAAAAGATCTATATTTCAAAAATAATTAAAGGTTTTAAAGAAAGATATTATATATATAATGTATTTCTATCTACTTTTATGTAATTTTGTTTACTTCTATTTACTTATCTAATAAATATTGATAATTGAAATTCCCACCTATATATTTATTAGTTCTACCTATCACCTAACAACAATGTGGTGTTGCAAATATGTCAATTATATTTTTATTTTATATTTGTATATATATTTTGTAGTGTCACCAACTCCTTTTATTGAAAAAAAAATAAAATAGGATGCTTATTTTTTCACCTATTTTTTTCTATTTATATCCATCATCTATTGTTATACCAAATACCATGAATATTAGATGTAAGTGTATATGAATTGATTGTGATTGATCAATGTAGCAGTTCTAAATAATACATGTAAAAGCTTGTATATCTTTCAAATTTCTTTTTACCTCTATTGTTCTATCTTCTTTCTTCAACCTTGCTTGCAATTTAAGAATACTTGTATTTGTCAACTGCACCCATTTCATTGCTTATGTCTGTAGTTATTATTCAAAGATTGGATATGATATATTAATTGTGTAGTCTAATAAAGACTTGTGGATTATGCTAGGATACAATATATGTGGTCAACATTATAATTATTGTCATTTGGATTTGAAAGATATGTAATATAGAATGGGCATGTACCTCATTAGTTGCAAATAGCAAGCTAGGGGCTAAACTAACAAGAACAACTTGTAGAAGGTCAAAATATACAATAACAAATACAACAATGAGTTGTTGATGAATATAGCAAGTTATTCTATTTTTCAACAACTAGTAGAATCTAAAAAATAGATTGTCTAGGATTTTCTTGAATGAGTATTTGTGCACATCAAGGACTAGTGGATTTGTATCCTAAATATGAATTGTTGCTTCTTACATCTAAGACATACTACAATGCTATTGCACATGCTTGCCACAAGTAACCAAAGGGTTGTTTGTTAATACATTCTTTGGTAGATGAACTAGAAGGAACAAAATGAAAGTACATAATATAATATAATATTGATAGCTATATTATACACTTATTCCTAATTCATGTACAATATATCAATGTGACAAGAATATACCATGATGTCTTGCTTTTGGATTGCATATATAAGACAAATTTCTTCAAGATGTCGCTTTTAAGCATTATAGGCTAGATAAGGTTGAATTTGATGTTCTACTCTAAATTTGCATTTTTGGTCATGAAAGATACAATGGATTATAAGTGGGTATTGGCATAAGCCTAAAGTCTTTTTGATGACATTACAATGCCAAACATAATAATTATAGATTATGATTTGACATTTGTTTTTACAATTACATCCATCTTTTTTTAGGCTCAACATCTTTTACATCTTTGGCACATAAAAAAGAATATTATTGCCAAGTGCAAGTAGTTTAAAAAAAATGGCAAGTTTTAGGAGCTCTTATAAGCTTAGACCACCATCTACCATATAGTTGACATCTATGAATTTCAAGCTCAATGGCACAAGCTACAAAATAGCTTTGAAGACATATATTTGACATCATCTTATCTGAAAAAGATGTGGTTTCTTCATTAATAGAAGTTTTTATTTTAGCAACATCTCAACATAGGATATTAAGGGAGTATAATGTGCATTGAAGAAATTTTTCCAAGTGTTAATAGGAAATTTATATGAAGTACAATAGCAAATGGCTAAAGCAATTGAACATCAAATAAAAGACTATGAAGCTACTATCTCTAACCAATACATATGTACATTCTACCACTGATACACACTAATGAACTCAATTCTTATGAATTGAGTCTTGCTGTTCTTACTCAACAAATTTGAGGAGTGGCTTTGAAGTTAAACTAGAACAAAGATTATGGTGGCACACAGGTGATGGGTAGAAATATAAAAAATATAGGTGGAAAAATAGAGATCATATTTTTTTGCTCTGGAGGTGGATATGATGGATGTGGGATACAACCATATATATATATGTAGTGACATATCCATACCGAGGAGAACTTCGTCCGAAGGGCTGCGCGACCAAACTCCGACTAGTGAGAAGGAGCCAGTCTTAATAAGCAACGACAGGAACTCCCGAGCTAAGTATGAGACACAAAAAGAAGAACAGCATACACTAACAAAAGTCGATTCACGCAAAATCAGGCGAATGAAGACCTGGAAAAAAGTAGTTCCGCGCGGGAAAGAACAAAAAAGAAAAAAGAAAACATCAGCAACCTTCAGTTAAAATCTTCAAGCAGATAGGTTGCATAATCAACATGCCAAAGCAACGGAAAAAAAAGGGAAAAAAAAAAAAAAAAAAAAAAAAAAAAACGCTTGAATCAAACAATGATCCTCAACTAAACTTTCAGCCACCTATGTGGCAATGTAATGGGTGATACCCATAAAAACAGATCGGATTATTATCACTTAAGCACCTTTCAAACCCTCCATTTCTTGCATCCACTTGTGAAACTGACCCTTTCTCTTCGATCCCGCCTTCACCTTCCGTCTCTTGCCTCCTGGCATCGACCTCCAAAACACGTCTTCCGTGTCCAGCACGTACGACACTTTTGAAGTCCGACATGTCATCTTTATCTCAAGCCCATTCAATATGTTCACATCTTCCCCGTAATCTACACACTCTTCCACCAACTTCCGCTTCAAGTTGCGTGCCACAAATAGCTGCCCGCCCTTGCCTGATGGTACTGACGTCAAAAACCCGTCCAAGTACTTCTGAAATGAGCTCTCGAAACTATTCCCGGGAATGTCCGAATTGTCCATCAGCTGTATCAACAACTCGTTCGGATTCCACCTCTGCTCGAAACGGTATATCCTCTCGTCGTGCAGCACCACACAAGCATCAGCATAGTACACGGGATCCACAGCCTCCCGCCCGTTTTCATATGCGTTCAGTGCCAGAAGCTTCTGCACCACGTCGTCCGTTGCTGCCGCTTGTAGTTGCTTTACTAGCTTGAAAATCAGCTTGTCCAACGTGAACAAGATATACGACTGTGTGCCGACGATTGCCCTGCACTCATCCTCAAACTTTGAGTTGTCCACAGAACCGTCCAGCAAACCGTACAACACTTGCAAGAACCGGGAATACAAGTTCGGGGGGGCGCCGCTATCGCTGCCTTTCTTTTTCGATGCCAACTCTGCATTCACCTTCGCCGACAGAAGCCGCTCATATAGAGTTTGGTAGAGCCTGGACACACAAAATAACCTCGTCACACGCCTCTTCACACACAAAACAACTTTGCCAAATATAGCTGGACACGTTGCACTTCCATCTTCGCAACAATCACCACATTTGCATAACTCCACGCCTCGCCACCATCCACAGCAACAGCTCCCCACATAACAACTTTCTCATCATTCAGCACTCTGCCCATAGAATTAAATCTGGACAAATACTGTTTCGATTGCGAAATTGACCCCTACAATTATGACCGCTGCATACCAACAGAATACTCGATTTCTACCATCGCCAAGGAGCCCAAGGATTCCGAACCCAACCTTAAAAGGACGTAAAAGGTGTCGTTCCCATAGAATACTCCTCCGCCCTTCTTCGACTGCGATACCACCGTCAACCCTGCACCGGGTCCGGGATAAGCCGCCAGTGGCTTGCAATGTGCATACGACTGTTCCGAACTTGCCAGTGACGAGTTCCGATCCCCATCTCCATCTTCCACATCTGTCATGCCCTCAGCCTCTCCTTCGCTCTCTGCCTTCCCATCTTCATCCTCCTCCTCGTCATCGTCGTCATGCTCCGATTGCTCGTCCCCAGACTGCTCACTTGGCGAAACCTCCTCCCCACCTTCCGACGGAGTGTCGCTGTCCTCGCATGACTTCTGAGCGCTTTCCTCGACTTCGTCGTATGCATCTAAACACCAAACCAACATTGTCAACCAGTCCTCCATCACTCAGCTTGCAGTCAAAATTCCACTATGGGCAATTCTAATCATACAGAACCACTGCAAACGCCTGGCTCCAATGCCAACACTAACCCCCTTCCATCCAACACCTCCCAGAACAAGCTCCCAAATCACGACCTTATCTCTCGCAAGCCCAGCATACAAACTACTAGTACCTTGCTCATGCTCCATCCCCGATCCACCCACTCCATCTGCAGCCTCCCCATTACCGAATGACTTTACCACACCATTCTCTTCTCTTCCCCGCCGCGGACTGCACTTCAACTTCTTTCGGTTCTCCCGCTCTGAAAAAAGCGATAGTTCTCCTTCTTCTCTATCTGCGGCGGCACGACTACCGCTGCCATTATCGTCCGCCACTAAACTACCACCATCCGCCACCGATCCGCTTCCTCTATTCTCACCATGCCCCGCATTCGCCCGCCTTTCTACATCGCCTCGTTTTGCTGCCCCGCTGCTCTGCTTCGTCCCACTGATCCCTGCATGTAACCATCCAGACCCTTCCGTCCGTGCAGCTGTCCCTTCCCCACCATCCTCCGCCCCACCCCTCACCACATCTTCTCTAGCCCCGTCACCGCCTCTCTCATCCGCTTCTCCTCCTGCAATGTCTGCTGAGTTCCTCTCCCCACAATCTGCTGCTCGCCGAACCTCCCCATTCGTCGTACCTGCGGTCACCCGAGCCCCACATTCTTCCACACCCACAACCTCCACACCTCCGCTAACGCTGTCCCCTCCTTCAACTGCAGCGGTCCCACCCTCCGGGCTGCTCGTCATTTCATCCCCTTCGCTGCCACCATTCTCTCCGCCATTTCCATCCCAGACTTTGCCCTCAGACGACTTCGCCTTCACCCTCTCCTCCATGTCCTCCACCCCCTTAGAACGCGACGATAGGTCTAGCACCGGTTCCACGAACATCCTCCACATATGCATCGTCTTCTCCGTGTGGTCCGACGAGCTACTGATCTCCTCCGACGAATACTTTATAATCTGGTACATATCATCATGAATTGCCAGGTCGCTGAATTCGTACTGTAGATCAGGCTGCAGAGGCCTTCGATCACCTGCTGCAATCGCCAACATAGTGTCGTCCTCTCTTCTCCTCTTCTCGTTAACCTCCTTGATCTCTGCCAGCAGTCCCTTCGTACTCAGCGCCTTCTTGTCCTGCGACCTGAAGTAGAAGCTGCGGTGATCCAGCGCCTTGTAGCAGTTCTTCGCGTACACCTCGGACCACACTTTGTTCATTTCCTCTCGGCATCGAGTCCACTCCTCCTCCTTTTGCACCAGACGCGAGTGTATTACAGGCATCGCTCGGCTCATGTTCTTCCGAACCGCCTCCAGCATGTCCAGCCCGTGGTCCCCGTATATCCGCTCGATGCACCTCAAATTGATCGCAGACAAAAACTCGTCCATCGGAGGCAATGCCTCCGCCTTACCGCTAAGCTCCTCTTGCTTCGTAGTGTATTCACCCACCAGCTTCGCCGTTACCGCTGTCCCCTCCAGCAACATGTCTAGTTCGAAGCGGTCGTCCTCACACCGGAACAGGCTCTCTTCGTATTGGTTCTTCCGCATGTGCTTGAACGAGTAGTCCTCGCTCCCCGACGTCATGGACACCCAGCTGTCGTTCAGCACCGAGTTTCCAAGCGCCGTCCGATGGCTCGACACCGGCCGAGGATAATGCTTTGGCAGCAGCCGGTAGCTCGGAGTACACCGATCGCAGTTAGACAAATCCAGCTCCGATATCGGCTTGTTGATGTACTTGTCCTTGTTCGACACCACCTTGTGGCCCCCCTCCCTCGCAGCCTGCGATGGTTTCACGTCCCGCTCCCTTTCCTTCGCGTCCCGCTCTCTCTCCCTGTCCTCCCGGCTCCTTTCCCGCTCACCGCCCCTCTCCGTCTTCACGGCCTTCAACGGTGCCGCCTCTGTGAAATCCCCCAGCTTGCGCCCGCTGAACACCCCTGCCAGATAGCCCTCCACGTTCTCGCAGTGGGTCAGGAACTCAGTGAATCCCTCCATCAGGTCCGCATGCTGCCCCAAGATGTCACCCACCAGGCTCTGCAGCTCTGCGCGGGTAATGATCTCCTGGCTGAAGATATTCAGGCATTTCAAAAACTCCTGGTATGTGTCTCGGCTGCGCAGCCGGGCCTTCACCTTGTCGAAAAATGGATACTGCACACCAATCTCACCTTTCACTGCTTTCTTATCATCCGTCAACGCTTGGGAGGCGGTCACGGAGAAACCGTCGCCCCCCTCGCCAGCCTGACATTGCCTCCTTATAGCATCGCTTGCATTACGAGCAGACGCTCTTTTTGCAGGCTTCTGCTCCGCGAAATCTTTCTCTTTGTCACGCCCTCCATCCTCCTTGCCGACCCTATCCTTTCTGTCCCTGTCGTCACATTTCACTTAACTCAGCTAGAAGAAGACTTTTGAACAATTGCTTATAGACACTGATTTTCTCAACGAGATCTAGGTACCAGAAATACACGTGGTTGCCCGGAATTATCATACATTACATGTTGACCTAATCTTTGAACGCAATGCAAGATGACTGTATAGTAAATCATACCCCATATCCTTCCTATCTTTCTCCTTGTCTGATCTCTTGCGATCTTTCTCTGTTCGCCGCTCCGGCTCACGGTCTCGGCTACGCTCACCCGACATAACCGAAGATTTTCCTTTCTTTGGTATTACAAGCCTCTCGTTCAAGGGCTTGACATTTGCTCCAAACCCTTTCTCGTCTCGTAGGCGTGGAATCTGCTGTACGGGTGTTGCAACAGGATGGACAGGTGATCCAGTTGACCCAGGGAGAAAGTATGTGAATTCTTCCAACAAGTCGCCATGATTCTCGAATAGCGATGCTACCTCCTGATATACTTCGTTGATGGACTTGTTACCCTTCCGATACATATTCAGGATCTCCAAGAAAGCCTTGTATACATGCTCGTTAGTCTGAAAGCGAGCCTTGATCTTATTTACATAGTTGATTGCTTGATCAAACTCGACTGCAGGCTGTTTCTTGTCCTCTTCTAATGGTAGGGTGATCTCGTAGCCTCGCGGAAGAAATGTGTTGAAGCCAAGTATCAACTGTCGGTGACCTTTGAATAGGTCTTTCACGCGAGTAATTACGCCAGCCGTATCAAGCCGCTGCGCCTTGAAGTCCTTCATGACCTCCAAAAACTCATCATACTTTCCTTTATCGTCTTTGAATTTCTCCTTGACGGCTTTAAGGTACGCAAGCGCATCGTCCGTAGTGAGGCGCTGGCCGTTCGCTGCCGAATAATTGTTAGCGGCAGCTTCCGAAGACTCGGCTCCTCGTGGCCCCGCAGCTCGCTTCCCTTGCGGAGGCCCGTTCTCATCGTCTCCCCTCTCCCGTTTCTTCATTTTTCTAACCGATACCTATTCCTCACCCAAAACCTTGAAATACTACCAGCGCATTAGCTTTTCGCAACAGGATCCAAATCCAACGCTAATTGAGTTATCTAGCATTAGAGAGAACGTCAACTGACCGCCGAACAATTCAACGAGGTGACGTGTTTTTCTTGCGCAAGTCAGGACTGCCAATCTCCTTCAGAATACGAACTTCAGAATACAATCGTATCTGCCTACACGACGCTTAATAATCCCACTTTCGCAGCTTGCCACAACAGCGACCTCTACCAATGTCAATTTTCCTTCATTTTATCTCCAATCATCACTTCCTCTAGCATTTCATGTGTCCGAACTTAAAACTCAGCAACTCAAACCTTATGACCATAAAATCCTTCCTTCACTACTTCAAAACCTCCCAAAAGTAATTAAACATTTTAGTCTGTCGAGCTCTAAACGGAGAAAAACCTCACAATAAGCTAGGAATCCATCACTATCCCGAGAACAGTGTAAAATCAAGATCACCGGGATATCACAACGACATCGCATCAAGAAAATCCTCACTAACACATGTCGAAATCCTCCCCTCAAGACATAACTCCACCTACCACATCCGCCAGTTCACGTCCACGACCCAATCCAACACCCTCCGATAGAATTAAGTCTGGTCGCAGAAATTTAAATAAATAAATAATAATAATAATAATAACGCCGATACACCGTCACCGTTTCGCAGGACAGAAAAAATCAACACGAAACAGAGAAAAACAGAACTTTAATGACTCGAATGCGCCAGATGCGTCGCCGGTAGGGTTGACGTGCATGAGAAGCCGAAAATGACAATGACAATTAAATCTCCATCGCTAATGCAGCAGTAAAGGAAATACTAACTTGAAAGACGATAAAACTACTCCTGCTCCTCCTCCTCCTCCTCCGCCTCATCCACGCAGCTCCTCAACCTCCCAAGAACTACTCCTTTGCAAAACAAACGAAGCGCCTCCGTCCTTCATTCCTCCAGAGAAAGCACCACGCGCGAGAGGCGACATGAATGGGATGGGATGGCATGGGATGACGGCTGCTTGGGAGCGAGTGAGCGAGCGGGCAGGCCAGAGAGGGAACCAAGCGGAAGAATGAGCAAAGAGACAATCGCCATGGTGTTGATGTAACTTAGGCTCAGCGAAGCACAGAAGAAGAAGGACCTTCCCGTCTTCTTTCGTTCGTTACCAAGGCGAGCAAATTTCGCCCCTGCAGTAAAGTACAGTGGAGTCTCTCCGGCACAACTGTTCTTAGAGAACGCATGGTGAACCCCACGCTCCCTCCCTGTGGGAACCCCACAGTCTGGGAGGTCTCGGCCTTCTCTCCACTTTCTCATTCCATTTCAGCATTGCCCGACACACATACATCCACAGTATATGGCTGCTTTCCTGACTCTAGCACCCCGAGGCTCTCCTGCATCTGCATCATCGGGGTTCGGGTGCTGTACTTCCCTGTATCCTGTATCGTTGTTTTATGCCACGACTCATTGTAGGACCTATTTTAGAGAGATTTCTCTTCTTTTCTTTGCTCTTTTCCTTTTTTCTTTTTTTTTTGTCATAATCATAAAACACTATCATATTTTTCTGTGTTAAGTAAAAGCTCTATTGAATTCGTCGAAATTTGTCGAGGCACGGTCGGGAGATAAGTTTTAAATCTCTGCAAGCCATTAACATACGTATGAAGCAATTGTAACCTATCATCCAAGATGTGATCATTGTTTACACAAGCGTTATAAGTGCGGTACGCTTTTTTCCGCGCAGCAATGGTGTGATTGCAGCAAAGGCGAAGTTACTGTGTAGAAGGAGGTTGTGGTTAGGAGGAAGGATGTCAATCAAAGTTACGGTGGTGGAATTTCACAACTTAAATGTACACTAGCCCTAAAGTTGGTTCGTAGCTTTAAAGTGTCACATCGAGAGTTGCAGACGTCCAAATCCAGCTGAGTAGTTCCGGGTCCGTTGCCATACACGGTTCCTACGAAATCATTCGATATTTTTCATCCACGAAGGGACATCGTCATTCGTCGATCTCCTCAAGCTCACAACAGTGGAATTCGCGAGAAACCCTCGACATGGAAGCGGGACATATGAATTTGTGTGTGCATACACGACTTCGTTACGTGCTCTGATTGTCAGACAGCGCCTTGCATGAGTGTATGGTCCCATTGGTTTTCAAATTCTTTGCTTAGAGAGCATATCTTAAGCTTTACAGGATCGGGCCATCGTGTGCGGGTATATTATTCGCAGTAAGAAGAAGAATCTGAGTTTCTCATGTGTGGAATTCGTCAGGAAGCAAACCTTTGAGAGTAGTCATGAATTGCTACCATCAGGCAATCTTTACTGTAAGCCCGAGAAGGAAGCGCTCAGAAATGGGAACCTTCTTTTTTCTTCGTGAGCGACCCTGCATGTTTTTAAAACCTTACCGTCGTTAGAACTCGCGGAATGAATCGGTGAGATCCTGTTTTTGGTTTTAGCTGTTCGTTGAGTCTTTGATTCTGGGGGTTGTCTTTCTTCAATCGACAAGGTTCATTTCATTCAATAATGGTTATACTAGTGAAAATGACTCCTAAAATTTGTCTTCAAAAATCTCTTGTGCAGATCTTGGTGTTACGGCACTGTTTGAAGTGCTGCAATGAAGTGTACTTCTCCCAGCTCTCTTCTCTAGAACCGCGTCTTTATGTCGATTTGGCGTTTGACTCGATATGGATCTTCCTAGGTGTGTCATGAACAATTCTGAATTAAATCTTGAAACATTATGTGATGGTCATGACCAGTAACTATACATTTGTTCCAATCATTTCTTATGTGCATGAATTGGCAAGGGAATGCTATGCTGTGAAACGCTTTGAACCAACACGAAGAGCCAATCAGATACCTTGAGATAAGGCTGAAAGTGGAAGATCCGCAAGCGGCCAATGTGCAGCCGACTTTGAACCCATTGTGGGAGTGCCTTGCGCCTTGAGTTCATGCTCCGAGTGATGCAACCTCCTCGTCACTGGATGCTCTTGCTTCGTGCAACGCTTTTCTTTAATTGCGAACCAATACAAAAGGCATGCAACTTTCACGTCTCATGATTGCCTGTCATGCTCATGTTCAGATTTCAAGGTTTCAAGTCTAGCTATTTGCTGTCAAATACTCGTTCAGGAAATGATTGACAATTAGTTCTTTAATGTGGTGGAACTTGCTACTAGAGAAACACAGAAGATAAGTTACTAAACAATTCCCAGAATAACAGTAAAGTTCTAATGTGCAGTAGAAAGTTCGTATTGCACGTACGTTTACATAAATGTCAAGAAAGACAACACTATCAATTATTCATTTCTGCAGGAGTGGACGTTGGACGCCACGTGTAAAGATTTAGTGAGTGGTGTTTCCTTGTCATAAATTTTTCAATATTTTACCATGGAAGGTCGCATGCACTAAATTCGGATATCCATTCTTGCATGGAGTCCATGATTGATATTTTTCACATTGATGGTGGCGACTCTATGCATGGTGAAGGACTTTATCGCTAGAGGAACTGCATACGTGATGAAATCTGTGAAGAGACACTCTGGAGATTGAAATTTGTAGGGGTACGATCCGGTTCAGAGGAGCATGCCATGCTGTTCTCGTACTTTCTAATAATGATGAACGAAATTTCTATCGCACAGCAGGGCAGATTAAATCAACTTCGTGAATTATGAGAGTCGTTGAGGAGTGTTCTTCACAAGTTTCTACAGAAGACCAAATGCTAGGTGGTATTTATGAAGCGAACACTTCTTCAATGAGTTTTGTGGTAAGGCATCCTCAAAATCTGGTGATTGTGCTCCACATCATTTGCTGGTGAAGCCTTGCTCCTCAGACAGAAGTAAGCTGTGAGAAGAATGAGTTGAATGTAATTGTGAGGGCAAGATGTATTCGATACAACAAAATGGTTGATAGATTTCCATTGTATTAATGCGGTACTTATGAGACACTTATGTGAAATCTGACACAGGCAGTTATGTCCGTGCTCGACACGTGATTCATCGCTTGAGAAAAAAGCATGCACAATGTTGGCTTTCCTGGCTTGGTTAGGTATGTCTTTGAATTTGGATATTGCTGTTTACTAAATCTGAAGTGGCAATCATGCAGCATCACTGTGGTTGGCATCACGCATGCGGGGAATACCTGCCTCCCAAATTGTCCCCTACGATGCATCCCCTCGTAAATTGAGCACTGTGAAGCTTTGTGGAGGTCGCATCTCTATGTGTGAGCCAATACTCCTATTGAGCGAGCGCTCAGCTGCCAGTGTGCAGCAACAAATGGTTGCTGCATTGATTCATCTTTGTAACAACTCTAGAGGGATTAGGTGTTTATCGCGCTCTATTTCTGGCTTGACCAATCCCTTTGTGTGGGACAGTAGTAGGAAGCTCCAAACAGCTATTGAGTGACTTGTGAGAACGGCAGCAGTTCTTTAATGTGCTCCTCTCTGGAGCCTGCCTGCCACTCGTGTGCATGTTTTCGTTTAAAGAATTCCTCATGGATTGCCACCTTCTGACAAGGAAAATATTATGTTGTGTTATCTTAAATCATTAATGGATGGATACAAGCGTAATTAACCATGTGCATTCTTTCTTTCCATTGTGATTTCATGTGCAACTAGTTGGCAAGACACAATTACCCCAGCGATTGTATTACTGTCTAAATGCGCACTCCCACCAAGGCAACGATAATGAAAAACCATTAAGACCTTAAAAACTGGTAATAGGATCCTTTGGTGCCGTCGTACTAGCTGCCATACCGTAAAAAAAAAAAAAAAAAAAAAAAAAAACTCTCAACTTCTGGAATCTGGAACAAAGAAAGTACAGGTTTGGAGGTTTCAGGAGGAGATTGAAACATGAAAGCATTGTGGGCACCTCAGTTTAATTGGAAGCTCTGTTTGGTCTGTACAACAAGGTCATAACGCGAGAATTTCAGAACGCTTCGTAGGTTTGCAAACTAGTTTGTTGTTACCTGACAGTGAACCACTTCATTCCACTCCGATCCCAGATTAACCAGAATAAAAACCTTGAAGATGAACTTCAATAACTTGAATGACAGCATTTGTAAATTTTCAATTCGCATTTTGAGCAAAGAACACATGAAATATGGGGCTAATTAAAAATTAATACCACGCGATTTAAACCAGCCATTGTTGCGACGAGAAGGGTGAGCGTATCTTAGAGTATGAAGCTGTTTCTGATCGCATCCGCCTATTCCTGGTCCCAAAACTTATCGTGGTTTATAAACAGGGCGTAGTTGATGATCAGCTCTTAACGCATTTGCACACCCCAGAGACATCGGCCAACGCGAGTGCGGCAATGTTGCTTTTCACGATGGCAGAGAGCCAGAAAAACGTACCCAAAATCCCCGAAGCTTCATAGAACTACACTCATATCCCCATTATCTCTCACCCTCTTGGACTACAATCGCGGACGCAATCCTCCACGCAATTCTACTACTGCTTCGTGGCTCTGCAACTCCCTACAACTAAAACTCCAAACCCCCACATGACTATGTCTGTAGGCCTGACTCGTCCACACGTCTGCAGATTGGGACGTTGAAGCCCGACTTGAATCCGGAACTCGCTGGGTAGAAGATCGGCATGCGAGGATTTTGAGGCGATCTCCGTCACTGTGACGCCGTTGCAGTGGACACCACAACGTGCTCAGAACGGACCCGACCACTCACCCACCACCCAAGGTTTCTGTTTCCAGGATGACGTATTCGACAGAGAAATATGTCTGTACGCGTTCACACTGGTGGACCCTATCCTTGTCAAGTCATGAATTCTGTTGAGATCATTAAATGTAGCTGGCACTCTTCATAATATTTATTGTAGACTATAGTAAATGCCATAGTTATAGTATTTAGAGTCTAGTGGAGAAGTATTGTTTATCCTCTCTCGTTTTCTCTTCGTGTATACAAGACACAACCAGATCAATAGATTTTTATGTGTGAAGCTCTCTCTTCTTATAAACCCTCTTGTGTGTATGACTTACTACAACTCTTGTGTGTGTGTATTACTTACTATTACTCTTGTGTCTTTCTAAACACTCTCAACAAGTTATCAACATGACTCTCTTCTATACACTATCACAATTTTTTTTGCTCTAGTCATGACTCTTCAAACCTGTTGCTATTCTTGCTCAATGTCTACCTCATGATCTTGCTGCTCTTCTTGCTGGCCACTCACAAATTAGCTGCTTGCTTAGACCTTTTATTCCACTCTCTACCCTTCTTGCTTAGAATACTTGCTTAGAATATTTGATCCAGCTCAACTTCATCTTAGTTTGCTCCCTGCTATGCCCCGCGCTTGTCGCCAAGCTACTGCCAAACTCGCTGCTGCCATTGCCACCTTGCCGTCGATGACGCTGACCTTGTCGTTGTCGCCCATCACCGTGCTCTACCATCATTGCCACCCTATCACCCTACTACTACCGCCCGCCGTTGCCTATTGCTATTGGTCTACTGCCTTAATCCACAATCTCTTTTATATATAAAATAATAATAATAATAATAATAATTAAATTTTTTTTCCAAGTTTAAATTTATCATTTTATTTGACTTTGTATTTTAAGGTACGTTTTACACAATTTTGAACTTGATTTTATATTTTCTTTACAGATGTATTTATAAGGAATGCTTTAATATCTTCAACTACTTCTACTATAGTTCCAACTATTACTACTGCATCCTAACATTTTCAAGCTCTTTTATTTCCACCATTGACTATGGATGGAAACAATTATCTATTATGGGCGAAAATGGCAAAAGCAAATTTATTTACAAAACAACTCTCGGATGCCATTATGTTTGAAGAATCTCCTACAATAAGTATTTCTATTCTTCCTGCTATTTATTGGGAAGGACTTATCCTTCTTTCGTCGTCATCTTGTACCTACATTACAACATCAATACTTGGATATGTAAGATCTTGCAAAACTTTGGAAGAATCTTAAATCCAAGTTTGATCATCAAAAGACCATTTTCCTTCCACGTGCACGTCATAATTGGACACATTTATGTGTCTTAGATTTTCCAAATTTAAATGCTTTCAATAGTGAAATATATAGTATTGTCTTACAATTACGATTATGTGGATAAAGCATCTCTGAAGAAGAAATGATTGAGAAAACTCTCTCTACATTTCCTCCTGTATCTGCTGTGCTTGTACAATAACATAGGAACATGAAATTTCATAATCATTTTGATCTCATGTCCTATCTACTTCCTGCAGAGAAGCAAAATGAATTTTACTTGTGCAATGCGGAAGCTCGTCCTATTGGAACTACAGTTCTAGAATCTCATGCACTTAATATTTCAAAATCTAAGAAAAAATTATATAAACATGAAAAACATGCTTATAAGTATCAGGGTAGTCATAGTCATGACCATTTCTACCCATATGGAAAGAATAAATATTCTACTATTAATTATAGTAAAAAATAAAAATCAGAGATGCATTCTTGCTATAAGTGTGGAATGATTGGACATTTAACACATGTGTGCCGTACTTCAGAATATTTTATTAAAATATTCAAAAAAAATAAGAAACTACGAGCTGAGGCTCATGAAGTTTATACCATAGATGCGTCGATGGATTCAATTGGTATTGATGACTAAGAGGCTTATATGAATGACAAATCTTCTAATGATGAATCAAATGATGTGCTCATTGATTCTGCAACAATACATACTATCTTGCCAGATAAATGATTTTTTATTGAAAAATCTTCAACTTGGCAAACTAAAAATATGATGACCATGGCTAGAGCAAATACGTTTTGTTTCTAAGAAGGCACAACAATGGTAAAATTACCTATCGATTCCATCATAAAATGTAAACATGCGATGTTTGCACCCTCAATACCTCAGAGTTTGTTCAGCTACTGACATGTGTGTATTAATGATTATCACCTCTCGATCACTATTTTAAATAAAAAAGAGGTTTTTGTTCTTGCAAAGAACTCTAAAGTTGTTGAAAAAGCTTTTGCTACAGAAAATGGTTTATATCGAATTATGATTCGACCTCCCATTATATTTAATTTTGCATCATCTATCATAGAGAGTCGTATTTTGCTATGGCATGGATAATTGGGAAATCCAAGATCCACATTATTTAGAAAGATCATTCCATGTATAATTGGGCACAATTTGAAGCATGCGGATGTAGATTCTATCGAATTATATCGTGCATGCATGCAAGATAAAATGATTATTCGGCCTTCAATTTGGAAACTTCCACAAGAATTACCACCAATGCTTGAAAGATTGCATGGTGATATTTGTAATCCTATTAGTCCAATATCGAAACCATTTCATTATTTTATGGTCCTTGTTAATACATCAGGTAATCAATCACATGTTTCATTATTATCAACTCAAAACACAATGTTTGTCAATCTTATATCTATGCTTATTCATTTTCGGGTATATTTTCCTGATTATCCTATAAAAACATTGTGTATGGATAATGCAAAAGAATTTGCATCAAAGTCTTTTAAAGACTATTGTACTGCAACAGGAATTGGGTTGACATATTGTATTCCATATAAGCATGCTCAAAATGGACTTGCAGAGTCATTTATATAGCATATACAACTCATTACCCGACCACTCCTCTTTCATGTAAATTTACTTGCATCTATGTGGGGTCATGTAATTTTACATGCTGCAGCATTAATACGCCTCTGCCCTTCTTCTCTTGAAATTGTTTCACCACATGAGTTCATTTCGGGTCATGTTCCAAATGTATCTCACTTACGAATATTTGGTTGCGATGCTTGAATTCCAATACCAAAACCTCAATGGTGTACCATTGGAGCTCATCAACAAGAAGGCATATATGTTGGTTTTGATTCACTAAGCATTATTCGTATTCTTATTCCATCAACTGGCACATTATTACATGCATGTTTGCAAAATTACCGTTTTGAAGAAAATGTATTCCCATCTCTTCAAGGAGGAGTATCCAATCAATAAAGAAATAAAGTACTCATATTTGAAGCACCAAAAATATTTACAATGAATCCCGATCCTATGACATCTTTGGCAGAAATTGAAGTTGTTAAGATTTTGCATCTAAAACAGATTGCAGATGAAATACCTAATGGCTTTAATGATGCACCTAGAATTACAAGAGTTCCTATTAATGAGGCTCAGAATGCACCTGCTCATATTGTAGTGTCATTGACTATAATATCTCAAGTTATGACAACAACAACTAAAAGAACTTGTGGACTAGATAAGCAACCACATAAGAAGAAAGCTATAAAATTGACTAATCCTAGTATTATTTCTCAAGAAATTGTCACTCATCTTGCGAGACTATCAATTCATGATGATATATCCATGCATAATGTACCTTCAATTCCTATGAAAAATAATCTTGGAATTAGAAGGAATAAGAACAAGTTGAGTAAAAAATTATCTATTCTATATTGTGCTACAAATGATATTTGGGATAGACCATCTATTACAGGAGATGAATCATTTACATTTATTATTATTGAAGTCTTTTCTTGCAAGGAAGTTGATCTTAAACCTCAAACCATCAAAGAGGCGATGCATTGCTCTGATTGG